AGAGATTAATAATAAGTTATTATTCAATGCAGAGTGGTGTATAACATATTGGTGCCAGATACTCCATGGCTCAATGGGTGAGAGCTGTTTTGGTAGCAACAGGGGGACTAAAATAATATTAGGCAGGTTGTCATAATGTTATGCCTGATCAGTGTATATAAAGCTTTTTCCCACATACTGATAAAGTACTCTATCCTATAGATGTAAGTGCTGTGTGCACCTTGGATTCATACCTATGATCGATTTAGAATAACCAGTTAACTTTACATGCATGTCGTTGGACCAGGAAGGAAGCCAGAGTACCTATAGGGTGGCTGTAGGAGGCAGAGCAGGTCACCAACTGATCGGAAGGTTGGTGGTTCGATCCCTGGCAGTCTGCATGCCAAGTATTCTTGGGCAAGACACTAACCCCAACTTGCTCTCCGATGCATCCATCGGAGTATGAGTGTACTTAGAAAGCACTGAGTGTAGATTGGGTGAATGAGGCATGTTATATAGAGAGCTTTGAGTACTCCGGGAGAGTAGAAAAGCGCTATATAAGAATCAGTCCATTTACCATAGTACCCAGAGGAAACCCACAAATGCACCACCCAGAAAGGCCTTAGGCACAATAGACTGCAGTGTTTCACTTTTAACTGTTGTGCATCGAAAGATCCTGATTTCCTTGTTATGTATAATGTGATGCAATGTCTTACCTCTCCCACAGCACTGGACAGGATGTGGACAATTTTTTCATGGGGCGTGGCCACCACACTCTGGCTGTTGATCTCGATGATGCGGTGACCAACTCTGACCCCGCCCCGTTCGGCAATGCCCCCACGCATTAGGCTGCAAATCTGTTGAAGAGATGTCACTTTTTCTTTAAAAATAACAAATAAAATCACTCAAGAAATGTAACAAAATTGCAGTTATCATGTAACAGAGCAGACACTACTCACAATGCCATTCTGGACACTGAAACCCAGCTGGTAGCGCAGGTCTGGCCGTCTGATGAGTACAGTAGTCACTGGGGGACATCTCACAATATTCAGCTTGATATGAGACTGGTTCTTCAGACCCTACAGGAAAGAGAAGCAGGAAAGAGCAAGTATTGGGATGAACTAAATTCAGCAGCAAATAATGTGTGCATACATATTATACATAATATACACACACACACACACACATATATGTGGTAGCAAGCGCTCTCTCCTATGCAGTGGTCACTGCAGGGCAGCTTAAATAATGGGAAAAAGGCAGCGATTTCGAGCACTTGTCCCATACAGGACACCGTAGTTCAAGCTTCTCATTCGTCCAGGCACCATCTTGGCTCAGTGTTTACTGTGTTTGCTTTGCAAGGCCCAGCAGCAGACTCGGAGTGGTTTATGGCCCAGTGTGTAAATGGTGCGGTCCAAGCCACAAAGTGAACGCTTGTGTTCGATCACACAACACAGAGTCCTGCACTGGTAGTTTTACATATACACACACTAATAT